GTGCTAGCTCTGGTAGCGCACGCGGTTTGTCTACACTTCACAAAAACAGTTCCTTAGTCCTGTACACTCCTTGCACTCGTGATATGAAGCTAACTGGAGACTACATGAAAACGAGAGCGTCCCTGCGCCCGACACTGATATATCTATTTCCAGTAATTCATCTGACTTTTTTTGGCAGCCCAGCCTCATCTGTACCTGCACTAAAGAGGCTAAGCAAGATACTAAGTGTCATTCTTCATGTAACACTGGCGACAAAAGCCCACAACAGCTCTGAGGCTACCAGTGACAGCTAATCACTCATTTAAATAGCTGTCGTTGGAGATTCATCCACACTCTATCCTATTCACTAACTCTAGTCAGTCCATTCATCATGATATCTGTAAAACCCACCATTAATACTTCATACAATCACAAAGTCAGCTATATATCTCTGACCTGGTTAGCCAGTCTACCTCCCACCAGTCAGACCATTTCTAACTGATCTGGCACCATTAAACCTCTTCACACCTAATTATATACAGCCTGTATTTCTCCTGACTCTTAGGCAATCACACACTTCTATCACACCTGTGATGTGTGTGTGTGTGTGTGTGGTGGTTGTGTTGTGCAGCAGTCCTACTGTACTCGTGGTTAGCTGTGTGTGCAGCGTCCTGTGCTTCGCGATGTTCCAGTGTCAGGTGTGTGTGTGCTATATCACCTCTGACCATAGGTAACCTATATATACTCACACTTCTTACATCAGTCACCTATTATACACAGTATTGACCGGTAGGGTGAGCTGTGTCTGTGTGTCAGCGCTCGTGTGCTCGCATCTGCAGTTCGTAGGCGATGTGCCTCGTGTGACTCTATGTAGTGGCTGCATACGTTGTCGGCTGCTTTCGACGTCTAGATTATAACAGTCAATTTCTCATGACCTGGCAGACAGCTCGTCCCAATCAGTAGCAGCAGATAATCATTCATGTACCTGAAGCAACGTCATATACGCCTCCTATTCACACCCATCAGCATTTCTCTGAACCTGGCACCCACCTCTTATCACCACACCAAAGATATCAGTATCTATACTCTCACTACTATGGTAAGCTACACTCCAGTATACTGCCTAGTCTAGTCAGCATTGTTTCAGTGTGTGATCGCCTGGTGTGTGGGTATGCTCGTGTTTGTGTGTGTGTGTTGTGCTAGCCTGTTCGTTGTTCACATTCAATGCTCGGATCGTGTGTCTACTATCACTGAATAACACTTGATAGTAGCTACATGATTCCTCCTAACCAGTCGGTAATTCTCTGACTCTGAGCACCTTATATCACACTAACTCTTCTACATATATATATATATATATGTGTGTTGTGTGTGTGATTGAGCCTAGTGAGTCACCGATCGTCGATGTGGTAGTCTCGTGGGTGATGCTGCAGTCTGGTCCTCCCATCCGAGTGTGTGTCATGGCTATGTCGTGCGTGTTACTCTAGTGTGCATTTGCCTAAGCGTTCGTCTGCTGTGACGCTAGGTTGCGAGGTACTATATCTTAGTATGACTATGTGAGCACCTAGCTCGTATTATATACTAATATCACGCTAGATTCAGCATCATCTGATACCCTGGCATTTAATTTACCAAATACATAAATATAGTACGCTAACTCCTTCTAAACCAGTCAATAGAATTCTCACTGAGAACCTGTGCATCCATATATGTGTCGATCGTGGTGGTGTGTGTGGCTGTTGCCTTCTGTGTACTAGCCGAATGTTAACACCTATATTACACTTCTTAGCCTGTGACACCTATATTTATATATATACACTTATCTTCATCACTAACCACGGGGTCAGTCAAGCCTGTGACCTGGTAAGCTTAAGCTCCTCCTAACCAGTCCTATAATGACATTTCACTCTGACTCTAGGTCTATACCACAAACTCCCACTCACCAGTCTCAAGTCAAAATGCCTATGGAACCTGGATACCTATATATATATTAATATAATAGTATATATACAATATACACCTACTTTATCACAAACAGTCAGCATCTCATCTGACCTGTTAGCTACACCATCTTCATCATATATATAATCACCATTGTAGAGCCTTTCTCCTTAGATCTTGGAAAGACTATGAACTCCTCCTCCATAACCAGTTAGCAATTCTCTGGATCTTGGCAGCCATAACTATATATATATAATATATAATATATATATATATACTCACATATAATATATACAAATACATATATATGCTGTGGTGTTCTACGGCTGTGCAGCTGCAGTGTAGGTCGTATACTACATCACCACACTGGCACACACTCAGCATTCTTATACAATATACAGCTATTCACTACTCGTTAAACCTGTGAGAGCACTCCACTACCATCTATAACACCAGTTACTAAGCTATTCTCTGATAACCTTGAGCATACCATAATATACTCTTCTTACTAAACACACAAATGACAGCATATCCACTGACACGATGGAAGATAGCACGAGAGTGAAGAGCACGAGGCTACCTGAACAGGAAGAGAGAGAGAGAGAGAGAGAAGAGAGAGAGAAGAGAGAGAGAGAGAGAGAGAGCCAGAAGGATGCAGACATTACTGCCTGACACTGGCAGCGAGAGACAACTTCTATCGAAGCAAGTATCAGACAGAGCCCCTGACCTAGGTATGACATACACACACGCCACCACACCAACACACACACACCCACATCATCTCACAACACCAAGATCCACCAACATCCATATCTTAATACATAACCATGGCAGTAACAACTTCACTTACACCCACCATATCCAGCAATTCTCTGACTTTAGGTAGCACCATACCTCTACCGTACTATCAGCACAGTCAGTATACATATTTCACTCTGACCTTGATTAGCCACCCAAGTACTTACTTTATATTACCTAAACTCACAGTCTCAAGCATATCACTTAACCTGGCATCCACCTCTTCACACCAGTCAGCATTCTCGACCCTAAAACACCTAACACTTATCTTCACACCAGTCATACATCCTACATGAGTATGAGGATAACACCACCAACCACTAGTGCTCAGCACCAGTCACTAAGTTCAGCATTCTCTGACGCTGGGCACCTTTATCCATATATATTTGAATATGCAACATCACTCTTCACACCAGAGTATACCACACAGCAAAGGAGGAAAAGAAATCCTACATCCACGAATGATGATATGGCCCGAGATGGCCCCTCGTTACACCATCCAGGAATCATGATTTGAACCTATCCCACTAATTTCGAATATTAGCCAGGCATACCTATACCTCCTTCACACCAGTCCGTACCTTTACTTATTGAACCAATGGAGTACTAGCTCCTCACCACAGTCCAGTGATATTTACTCTGCACCTGTGATCACACCTATATATATACACACAACCTCTTTATCAAACCTATAAGTCACCATCCAGTAAGAACGC